TAATATCAAAAAAATGGCTAAACTATTTATTTCACACTAGGGCACAAAAAATCAGTTTCTTCCGACATTGTATTGGGGGAAAAAGCTTCAGATATAAGGGCACTATCGAGAAAAAACGAGTTTTTTGGGGCCGGAAGGTAGGGAAATGTTTCTTCTCTGTCTCGACCCAAGGGAAGCGAGCGCCGCCTAAAAAGCTCAGCCTGGGGGCGACCAGGGAAGGTCTGTGATTTGGGCGAAATAGAGAATGGGACCTAGATACCGGCGGGGGTTTTAGGACGTGCGCAAAAAACCACGCTAAGAGGACCCCCACACTCGGGTCTGCCGGTAAAGGTTATTAAGAGACCATAAAAAAGTGTCAGGGGCCCGGACTTTCAACTGCCCCCCCAGCAACATAAGGGGGATTACCAACAGACCCCCGGGAGTTTCAAATGGCACTGGACAAGCCCTAAAGTCGTTTCCGGGTGCGGGCGTGGCTGTACGTTTGGTTTGCGTGCAGCCCGCAAAACAGCCTGGTTTATCAGGGTTGTCCACCAGGAGGCGGTCTCAGACCGGGCCGGGGGGCGTTGACCCCCGGGAAATCTTCCAGGTAAACCCAGGTAAACAGTTGTGACCGGGTGTGGAAGTGTGAATTTCTCATTTCAATAAATTTTTTCATGATTGTAGCCCCGTAAAACGTAAGTAACCCTTCTTACAGTATTCATTACCTTTGAAAATTGTGAGCTCATTACCTTTTTTACCTAGTTCGCCCTCAAAAATTTGGGGCCCTCCTGGATCCATTAGTCCCTGTAAACTTTTGATACCCCCCCAGGATGGGTTTTTGGGGGGGGCATAAAAAACATTTTAAAATAAACCCTCAAGGGAAATTTTTGGATATTACATGAGTGTGGAAAAATTTCATTTATCGAATGTAACTATTATGTCATACAGTAAAAAGAACAAAGATAAATTATTTTTTGAGTTAGAAAGTAGGAATTTGGGGGCATTTGGTCCAAAAAAGTCCCCCCCTTGATACCTACACTGTCTATCCCAAAAAGTTGCTCTGGACCTTTAATTAAATGAAAAATTTAATAACCCGGAATTCTGGGGAATATAAAATTTTTGGGGGTGTTTTTTTAAAAAAATTTAATTAAAAACAATTTTCCCTAAAAAAGGAAAATATTTTAATATTACTCCCCAATTTGATGGAATTAAGTTTTATCATACTCAAAAACTTCACTCTAAATTTTTAAAAAAAACTGGCCCGAAAAATTTCAACAAATTTAAAACTTATCTGAGGTTTCCCGGGCTGTTTGTCCAGTCGTTTTATATCTCAAGTTATGCAGGGAAAGAATTTTCCCAAAAATTTGTCCTATTTAGAGGTGTCAGCCCAATTTTAAATCTGAGCACAAAAAATTCCCCTTTCCCTACACCAAGTTGTAACCCCTTCAAAAAATGGCAAATCTGTCGCCAAAACCAGGTTTCCTTTTTTATGCAAAATTTTTTAAAAACATACCCCTTTTTTAAAAAAATAAATGAATTTCTGGAAAAAAATTATTTTTCCCCCTGCGGCGGCCAGTTTTGCTAACATTTAAAAACTCCTTCCCTTTTTGGGGACGATTCCCGCGTTCTGGCTTGGTGGGTGTTTTCCTAAGGTCTTACTACATTTTATCTTCGGGATCACTTGGTCTGCGTTTTTCTTCCTATCACTTTCACTTTCCCTCAGATTTTCATTTCTTTTATTTAAAACCTAATTCCAAGGGAATCAATTTATTAATTGTGCATAAACTTTCCTGGCCACAAAACAACACTTTGACATTTCCGGACAACACCTTGTGCATCTGGGTACAATGTCAATACTTTGCCCAGAGGCCACAATGTTTCGATGTTGTTCAGTATCAATACAACACAATGTCAACCTGGTTGAATGTTCTGTCGATTTACTGTCCTCTGTCGCACCATAAAAGTGTTCACGTAGTTTAAGAAGAATTCCTTATGCCACACATTAGACCAATGATCAATTACTTTATTTAACATTTTAAATTTATCACACAACACTGCCGCATCATTGTAATCTTCATCACTTTCTTCCAGATTATCTCTATAGACAGGGGCAGCTTTCCAATTTCCTTCCACATATTAGGGGAAAGGTGTTAATACATCTGTATCAGGTGTATCACTCATGTACGAGAGACGCCTATTACTTATACCGATTTTCTGCCTCCCACTAACACTGCACGGAATTCTTCCAAATTAACTTTCTCTTCGGTGTAGTACTTTACGGAGGACACCTCTTCACTGTGCCTATCAGTCTTTCATACAGCCCCCCCTGCCAAGGGGCTCTAGGAGAAATAAATTTCCAGGTACACCCTCACAGGGTTAACACAGATTGAACATCGTTACTATTATTTAACTCTATCAAATGTTGAGCACCTGCTACAAAATTTGTAGCATTATCCAAAATCATCAATCTCGGACAGGATCTCCTAGCTGCAAATTTTCGAAACTACTGTATAAACTGTTCTGCAGACAAGTCCTGTGCCACTTCTAAATGAACTGCCCTAGTAGCAGTACAGGTGAACAAACATACACTTTCAGTGGAACACCATCTGAAGCACCTGTTAAAATTATTGGGCCACTATAGTCTACACCTGTTACATCAAATGGTTTCACTAATTGTACACGCTCCTTTGGCAATGGTGGAGGACCTGGGTACATATAGGATCTGGCATCCACACGGCGACATATTACACAAATTTAATCACCCTTTTTACACTTTGCGTCCTTGTGGAATCCAGAAAGTTTCCCTAATACAATTTAAGGTATCTTGTACCCCCCCATGCATTACATTTTTATGGGGATTAGAACAATTAAATTTGTTAGATGATGAGTTTGGCAGTAAGATAGGGTGTTTAGCATAATCACCCAATTCAGCATTTTGTAACCTACCTCTTTCACCTAATTACATTGTCTCTAAATACAGCCCCAATTTCTCTTTATAGAACCTTTCAAAATTTTTTTTTCCTCACAATTTAAATCTCATTTCCCTTTGATTTCTTTTTAACCCCCCCTTTTTTTCCCAAATTCA